AATAAAGAAAATATAAGACGTTTCGTATACGTAATGGGAATGTTCTAGAAAGTCTCTCGAGATTTTTAACACTTTCCTGAATATGAATATTTCTAAAAAATTACATATTTTATAAATACATAAAACGCCCGTATACCACACGCGATATTAGAATATTAACCATGCAATAGTTAACCTTTAGCGATAAAAAAAATATTATCAACTGTTATTGTTTAGGATTCCGTAGCTTTAAACATATTGGTACGTCAACGCCTCCCAATAAAGTAATAACAAAGTAACGACCGTGGTTCCTGATGGTTAAGGATCCCTAAAATCTATAATAACGCATCGTTATTGCAAAACATGTGTTCGATGTCAATAATGATGCACGCGTGTTATCGTTTATTTCTACATAACCTAAGTATTGATAAGAACTATGTTTACGTGTTCCTCTCAGCGTTATGTAATATTAAATTGTCTATTATTAACTACTAGCTGACGCCCGCGATTCCATCTGCGCGGTATTGAAGAAAAACTTAATAAGTAGTCTATGTGTTCTTATACACTATGTTCTACATCTATGCCAAATTTCAGCAAGATCCATGCAGCCGTTCTGTAGATATCTTCAAACAAACATCCATCAATAATATTTGTAAGATTTAATCTGTGGATAAAGCGTGTGGCGGGAAAATATGACATTAATTGTAACGGGTTTAGTTTCTTAGTTTCTGAGATAATTGTCATACTTGAAGAATTAACAATTCTTTTACTTTATATTAAAGGAATCCTCATGACAAAAAGGTGGGAAAAGAACGCAAACTCATTAGACTGTACGCGGAATTGCTTCCATTTGACCGGTGCCCTTTTCGTGCAACAGAATGTTGTTGGTGTCTACAACTGTTAAACTTGATGTCACGTGATGAAAACAATAAAAAATAAATATTATAGTCTGTTATAAGATACTAAGTAACAGTTATTTTAATGTAACATTATATTTTTCGGCAATGCCACTCTAAAAAGTAATAGAACGGAACGTTATTAAAAAAAATGTCAACTGACAGCTGATGATATCGTGGGACAGTGGTTGCCAACCTTGAAATATAATACAATAACCAAACATCAGGGGTGCTAAACAATAGGTTATATTCAAGATGATAAAAAATTAAAGGTGTGAAGGGGGACGCCCTTGAAATTATAAAGGGTAGTCGTGTGGTGCAAATTATATTAGAAATGAAGCCCTAAATCATTGCATAATCGTTCGGAATAAGTTGGGAGTAAATTAGGTGAATAATTTCATTGGAAATATTGTCAAGTTATTTAACTACAATTACATTTTACATTAACTAATTTCTCGTGTCACTATGTTAGTTGACATACTCCTCCGAAACGGCTTAACCGGGTACTATGCATTTTATAATCCCGTGCGGACGGAGTCGCGGGCGACAGCTAGTATTATTACTACTAATAATTGACTATCATTAAATAAAGAAGTTCCTCGTATTCGTAAGAAAATAATAACACGAATAATAAGTGAGCTAGGGGCCGCGTCCGCAAAATAATACCAGTACCACTCATCCTGACGATGGGCTCAAAACTATTCGGTGCCGCCACCGGACAAATATACGTGAGCGTTTAGCCGTGTTTATATATCAGTTTAACACGAATAACTTTAAAACACTAGTAAAAATATAAATTAAAAATCAAGCAAGAAAAAAATTGACTCTATGACTCTAGCTCTATGACTTCATGTCACGGTTATTATGGATTCTATTATCCTTTACTTACGAAGTAGTTACATACTCTTTGCCTTAAGTTTAATCACTTGTTGATAATATCACATCGTTATCCATACAAATGCAAATACAACAAAGTTTTATCGACACCAAGGTGAATCCAATGACGTCCTGCCTTGTTAAGTAATTGTTCAACTGTTTGTATGGATATTAATCTAATTACGTAACTGTATACGCAAAATAAATAGAAATAAAATAAGTACTCACGCCAGTATTCCAAAAGATTTAAAATAAACAACGATTTCTTGAAAACATATTAAAATAAAAAGTAAAATAAACAGTTGTTAATGTTATAAAAGTGTTTGGAAACTAATTTAGAAGGTACATTAAAATTTGCTTTCATTTCATCTTCCGTTATCCAACGCGCACAGATTATAAAAAATTATGCAACACAAAGTCAAGGTTACAACGGTTATGCAAACCGGTTATCGATATGCTAATAACGAACTAGCAATTTGCAAATATGCATTCGTTTACCATAAACAAAACGCATAACATTTCCGCGATTCCGCGCCATGTTTCTATTTTTTTAATTTTCAATATGACGTTAAAGGCAAAGGCAACATGATCGTACGGATTTTTTAAATTTATAAAAAAATTTGACGCGTATTTACGAAGACTTGGGGATTAAAACATGAAGGCTAAAAGAGAAGTATGCAAGAGAAAGTTATAGATACTGTGCCAACTGTATAAGGGACAGGATTATGGTGAGTTTTATGAAAGGAAAATTATAAACGAAAGTAAAAACCAAAGTATTAATAAACTAGCTGTCGCCCGGGTCTCCGTCGGCGCGAAATAAAAAAACTTAATAAGTAACCTATGTGTCCTTCCAGGCTATTCTACATCTGTGCCAAATTTCACTAAGATCAGTACAGTTCCTGATGTTGTCTCCGGTATCTTCAAACAAACATCCAAACATTCGCATTTATAATATTAGTAAGATAATATATATTGCGGAAGTAAGTGGCAATCAGTTTTCAACATCTTTTAAATATTGGATGTCATCGTGATGATCAAATATCAATTTAATCATTGTAATAGAATAATCCGGCACAAATAAATAGATAATGACATATCGATGACACAGGAATATTGCCAATAGATATAATTTTTAGATCACGTACGCATTCCTATTGTCCTTGACAAATTCAAAAGATTATTGTTGCTATTTAAATATAGAATGTCGCTATTTATTTTTTATTTTAAGGGCTTTTCAAATAATACGCGAGGAAAAAGGAACACAATTACTCGTTTTAATTCTTTACGCACAATTAAATATGACAGCCAACAACAGTGACAGGATCGAAAGTACGATGACGTCATCTTCAAAAATTCCGACGCGACATTGTCATATAAAAATTTGACAGTCGCCTGTTTAATATTCCAGTCAAAAACACACGTGAAATCGTTACATGCGGGTGTAAGCAACTTTGAATATAGAGAAATACACTAGGCAAAGAGCCACCGTTGTAACGTTGACGTTGAAACGTCCCTGAACGCATAAATTATTACACACTACATAAGCACACAAACAAGCAAATTTACTTATTGTTTCTTTATTATTTGACTGAAATTTGCGGGTTTGACAGGTCCTGTTTCTTCATATTCAATGATAGCGCCGACACTAGTTGCTAGAAGTAACTGGATACAAATTCCTTTATAATGTACGGCTCTCGGTCCTAATTTAAAAGTAAAATAAGTCACGGATCCACGACGAATAAATAAATAGACTTTAAAAAGAAAAACTGACTAAAAACAACTTATTACTATTAATTCCACGTAAGTAAAAAAAATGTAACCTGTCAGTTAGTGATTAAAAATAAAAAATATTAAATTTTATAATTGCTAATTTTCGTTTAAAAACTATTCGTCTAAAAAGTCGTTTCATTATTCCCGGCATAAGTTAGCACAGACAAAAAAAATAAGTCGTATAATCTACCACAAATTATAGCGCACGAAATTGCGAACCAACCTTGTACCTAATGACAGCTAGGCGTTATCGTACCTAAAGATTACGGCCCACGATAATCATGATTGTACGTGTAATCATACGAATATTATTACGGATGTTAGTTACAAGGTATCTAGAGAAATGCACAGCGGATCTTGATGAAATTTGACATAGATGTAGAACATAGTCTGGAAGAACACATAGGCTATTTATTTTCTGCGTGGACAGATCTGCGAGTGACATCTAGTATGAACAAAAAACATTTGCTCTGAACACGGACGTATGTAAAATTTTGTAATTGAATTTCATAACATATGTTTTCCTATGTGTCTTTAAAAGTTTTAATAATATTCACGTATTTTTTGCTATAAATTAGACCAATTTTAATTTGTTAAAACATCAGTCATTTGTAATTAAATCGAGCAAATTAAACGCATAAAATGCTTATTAAGTAAGCAATCCATATGACAAAGCAATTTTGTTTTAAATTGTGTGTTTTTAAAACCGAATCTAATTTTTATTAACTTTTTTTTTATAATTGAATGACCTGGTAACATAGACTTTTAGGTCATAAAAAATAATCTATAAAATGCCAGAAACAGTATAAAAAATCTTAAGGTCTTAGCGTTACCATAATATTTTTGAAAACTATCCCAAAGATTCAAGTTTAAAACTGTTTTACGTAGGTAATTAATTTCAGGTTAAAGACATCAAAAGAGAGAGCCAACCCAGAATGTACCTAAGACCTTTGGCCTAAGCTATAGAAAGGTTTTTGATCTTTAAGGAAAAGTTTCATTTACGATGAGAAATATGTCTTGGTTTAAATGCGGTGTAGCCTTATGAATATTTAGTTAAGTTTGCTCCGGCTTTTCCAATTCGAATGCATCTTGTCTCGTCTAAAATAAATTCCTTACCGCACCGCGGAGCTATTTTAAGTTTTCGCAACAAACCCGCTCAGACACAAAACAAAAAAAGTGGACATAGCATAAAATCTTATTAATAGACATCTCACGCCGACACAGAATGCACAAGGCTCTATTTAAATTAATCATTTAACACTTTAATAAAAAAAAAACTTTCACAAGCACAAAATTAAAAAAATAAAAACACAACACGTGACTTTAAAAGAGCGCGAAAGCAAAATTAAAAAAAAACACAAATATCTTTGCTGTTAAATTAAAAAAAATACAGATTTAATATGAACGCGGCATGTTTTTAAACGGAACGCATTTGTGTAATAAAAAAAAGTAAAAATAGTTGGTGCGTTTGGCACGTACCGAGCGGTCGTGTGACGCGACTGTTCCGTCGCGCTCGGAAACTCTTACTGAGGCGACTTTTTCGAGCGCTTCGCTTTCAGAACAAGCTCTGCCATCTTTCTTTAGTGTGTGTTTGTAGTGAAGGACGTAATGTCGATAGGTTAATATTATCGATCTATTTATCTATCGTGAATATTTTCCACTGTTTTTATTGTCCCTTAACTATTTTATGTTATTCAAACGAATTAATATTGTTAACTACACATGCAACTATTCCACAATGATAATTACAGCTGTTGCCTGACTACATGAAATTCTACGAAATATAATAATCGTAGAATTAACATTTTCTCCACTGCTAACAAAAAATGAAATAAATTCATTAAAAGAAATAATATAGCTGTAGTATTGTACTGGGTCAGCGTGGTTGACTATGGCCTAATCACCCTTAATTTAGGGTAGGCTCCGAGCCCCTCGGTGGGGACATATAGTGAGCTGAAGATGATTATAGTATAGTCATTGAATTAATACATTGAATATAAGTATAAGAAAACCACCACCAGTATAAGAAAATTTAAAGTTTCATAAATTGTCTTTCCGAATATATTATTATAGGCAAGTAAACTATATCTCATTGCTGACATATAAAAAAATAAAGTTAAAAAAAATATTTAATAAATTAAATATCGAATTACTAAAAAACGTGGAACATCACTAACACGGAACACTATCCCATAATACACACGCAATTCTATCTCACGCACACATGCAAATACAGTGAACTAGAGCTTAAAGCTATATACTGTCCATTATATTTTAAACCTTATTCCCAAGGTATAAAGTCTAATATAATATTTAATATTACTTCTAGGTGATTTCACAGCTCCAGAGATTAATAGATTTTATTGTCTTTTCTCCTTGTTTGTTTTATCATACATCTTTGTAAAGTTTCATGACTTTAAATATAGAAAATAACCGTTTTGAATAAATAATAACATTTAACTATTTCAACACTTAATCATGAATACCTGGATGACCGATGCTCGGTATTTTTTTTAATTGTGTATTTTGGAAATTACATTTAAGTACGAATTACTAATAAACTAATGAAATATGAATAATATTTTTCGATCTTACCGATAGAAAAATGTTAAGTTTATGTTTAAGTTGATTATCGATAAAACACGAATAAAATGACATTTTCAAAAAATTATTCCTAGCTAGATCGATTTATCGCCCCCGGAACCCTCTATATACTAAATTTTTTGAAAATCGTTGGAGCCGATTCCGAAATTCCAATTATATATATATAAGAATTGCTCATTTAAAGATATAAGACATAAATACTTCAACACCCCAAATAATTATTTAAATTAAACCAGAAAAAAATTAACCAATGAAGTTTTGTTTAAAATGCGTCGAACTATTTTTTTTAAAGAAAGTTGTCAAAACTTTGGCATCACGGTGATCATCGACATGGACGTCCCCATCACTAGAGAAACCTTTTAGATAAATATATATTAAAGTATCTTAAAGTATTAGTCTGGTTTGGTAATAGGACGACGATGACGAGAAGACTGTTCTGAAACGCTGCAATACGTGGCACTTCTCAAGAATCGCTCTGGTGAAGAACGTCATCCATCCATGTGGTGATCCAGGCTTTCTGTCGTCTTAACATAAAAAGAAAATTAATAACAAGAAATCCAAAGACATACAAAACTTTTCAGAAATCTTAGCGATTCGTTGCGCAGAACGCGTTAAGGCAGCGTGATGTAAGGAGAGATGGAGATGGATATAGTCATCTTCATTGACCTATATACATGGACAGGCTATAGACTGTGTAATTTTGTGTCTATTTGATCATCACCATTTTGGCGACGGTTGCAGTTTATAGCGGTGGTGAGGATTCAAATTAATAATAGAGATTTTAACAGTCAGTAACTTGGACGGGCACGTTTAAGTCGCAGCCTCGCAAAAGCCATGGATAATTGATGAATAAAGAAAATTCAATTGCTTTCTCTTAAGTACAGATCTTTTTTTTATATCATAAGGTGGCAAACGAGCGAGCGGCCATCTGAAATCGCTGAAATAGCGAAGTGACCGTTGCCCTTAAACATACGCAATTGCATGTGCGTTGCCTACCATTAATCGACGGAGGAGATGTTGCACAGAGAGAAAATATTTTCCTTTTCCATGCATCCTCTTATCCGGAAAGTCCACTTTCACTTCCCATCCTTTCCTTATAAGAAAAACGGTGGGAATAGAAAGAAGACTAAATTAGGCCGCCGGGACGCACAAAATGTCCCCGTAGTGGGGCAGACGGCGTCCACAGTACGCCGCCAGTTCGCTCTATCATTATTCAGTAAAAGCAATTAATTCATGACCTAGAATAGATGATATAGGTTAAATATTATACGTAATTTATTAATTTATTCCACCCCGGTGACTCAAACATATAAAATGTATGACTCATCTCCAAGGGCGAACTTTATTACTATTGAAATCATCATCGTATATATAAATTATGTGAACTGTCTGGTCTGATGTAATGTATTCATCATACTCTATATGTACACCAGGTTTTCGTCTTCCAGCTCCTATTTTTTTATATCATAAGGTGGCAAACGAACGAGCGGTCACTTGAAATCGCTGAAATAGCGAAGTGACCGTTGCCCATAGACATACGCAATTGCATATGCATTGCCTACCTTAAATCGACGGAGGAGAGAATGCACAGAAAGAAAATATTGTCCATTTCCATGTATGCTCTCATCCGGATAGTCCACTTCGACTTCACATCCTTTCCTTATAAGAAGGGTGGGATGGGAAAGAGGACTAAATTAGGCCTCCGGGACGCACACTCATCAGACGAAACGCGGAATTGCTTCCACTTGACGCCTGTCTTCTATGTGGTCGTGGTATTTCACCGGGCGAGCCGGGCCAAGTCGTGCGAAGATGTTAAAGCGGGCTCTACCACTGTTAAAATTTCCTATTTTTAATAAGACATTCGAAGACATTTTGCCCTTTGTTTTTAAATAAAAGTTTTATTGTAAATAATAACTGACATATTCCATCATTTGTATCTTACCCTTAATTTTCATCTAATACTAACTCGCTCACGATTTCATCAGACAAAATAGTAGTCTATATCCACGCATAAATCAGCTAACTTCCCATCAGAGTTCCGTCAAAATCAATCCAAACGTTTCAGAGATTGTCCAGAACAAAGGTAGATTTACACACAAATATTAAAAATAATTAAATTTTCGTTATAAGCAACACAAATACAATATCTCTTTCATTCTGTTTCATATTAGATTTTTCTGTATCTTATCTTATATCTCTAAATGAGCAATTCTTGTATATATAATTGGAATCTCGGAATCGGCTCCAAAGATTTTCATAAAATTTAGTATATAGGAGGTTTCGGGGGCGATGAATCGATCTAGCTAGGAATCATTCTTAGAAAATGTCATTTTATTCGTGTTTTATCGATAATCAACTTAAACATAAACTTAACTTTTTCTATCGGTAAGATCGAAAAATATTATTCATATTTCATCATTTTATTAGTAATTCGTACTTAAATATAATTTCCAAAAAACACAATTAAAAAAAAATACCGAGTAAAGCTGCGGTCATCCAGGTACTGATTATTTGAACAGTGTAAATATACGTTAATAAATAAATCCTTAACATAGTAAAAATGTAATTCTGTCGTATAATAGACATTGAATAAGTATGTTGGTGGTTAGCTAGCGGTAAGTCACGATGGCCCACATCATGGGACAACTGATCGCAGACGCTCTAGTGATGTACCTTAATCGGTAACAAAATTATCGATATTAATTTTTTATCGATATTTCATAAAAAAAATTGACAACACTATTCTTTCATAAAAAAATTCTTTAATTATTTTAAACTAGCAGTCGTCCGCGACTGCGTCCGCGAGGATATATAAAAAAACTTAATATATAGATAAGTAAAATAAAAAGCAGCTCTTCAAGGCATAAATTCGAAAAAAATGAATAAATAGTATCCTATGTTCGTCTCCAGGCTCTAAGCTACCTCCTCACCAATTTTCAGGCATATCGGTAAAGCCGTTCTTGAGTTATAAATAGTGTAACTAACACGACTTTCTTTTACATATATAGATGATAGATTTACTATAGCAAATATTTACAAACAAATAAAAATTATGATTAGATTAAACTTTTCTTCGACTTCTTTTTAGTATTACGTTTATAACTAAACGATTACTTAGGCTTTTGATACCTATGCAATCCTTGACTCAAGAAAAATACCTTAATAAGAGCAGAAGTTGACCGAAAAATATTAAATATTTAAATCTTCCCTGACACTTAAAATTTTCATAAAGTCCCATCACTAATAGAAAGTCTGGGAATTGTGATCGGACAGCGGGCAACTTTGACTATAAAGAAATAGACTAGGCAAAGAGCAGCCAACGTTGCACCTAATAAATTCTGCCACTAAGATAACAATCGCACTTTTACACTTTTTATCTGAATTTTACATTTACACAAAATGAACATAAACAAAAGCAAATTTATTATAATTAAAAGATATTGTTCGTTTTTCTTTTCCAGAGTATACGAGACTGGTCCTGCCTCTTAAAAGTCAAAGGTTATTTATCAAGCACGATCCGTAGAGCTGCAGCGCTTCAAGCAACTTTAATAGACTATTGTTTGTTTAAATATTGTTACTACATTCCTGATCCGATTAATAAATAGTCCAAAATGTACATATCTTACTAATATTATAAATGCGAAAGTTTTAATGGATGTTTGTTAGAAGTTATCTGCAGAAAGGCTCAATAGATCTCGATGAAATTTGGCACGGATGTAGAACATAGTCCGGAAGAACACATAGACTACTAATTAAGTTTTTTTTTTAATTCCGCGCAGACGGAGCCTCGAGAAACAACTACTAAAGTCATATATTTAAATGAAAGATAAGAAAATGCGTTTTTCTATCCAAATTTAATGATTATTTCTAATATAGAGCGCCAATAGCCTAATGGTTAAGGGTACGGATTTCCGAACACGTGGTCGAGACTTCGAATCCATTTGACTATTATAAACCATATCCTATCAC